AAAATGATTTATTGTTAAATTTTTAGGATCGTTTTCATACATTTTAACACTTTTAATTCAATAGGGACCAATTTGTACAATTTTTGAAAATTTGAAGAGACCAATTTGTCAAATTTGAAATTTTTAGAAAAACTTTGGGATGAATTTGACATTTTCATAAAATATGAGAACCATCTTACAAAATTTAAAAAGTTAATAATAAATAATTTAACAATTGTATGATATAGAGTGAAGGAGTAATTTTAAATTCATTATTGTTTGGTTTCATTTAAAATTTCTTAAATTTAACTTGAATAAAATACTTCATAAATTTACATCATTTTAACAATTCTCTATATTTTTTATCCAAACAACAAATTTTGGTCAAGTCATTTTAAATTCCCTCAAAAAATTATTTTCCCTCATTAAAATGCTTCATCCAAACACACTCTAAAGATTTTTTCAAAACTCTATGAACTCCAAATAATTTCTACTATTTGTCTCTCTAAGTTTCTCTACTAGAATTATCACATTTTTCTTATATCTTTCTTCAAGTCCACTAACAAAGTGATATAGAAACATATTTATAAATGTTGAAACTCAAGAGATATATAACGGGCTCAAAACACGACCCATTAATGAATGGATATGCGGTTCAAAATTACTAGTGTATCTGCATAACTTATTATATCAGTAACTAGTGCATTTGCATAACTTACTAAACAAAAAACTAGTGTTAATCAGGAATCGATATTTGTTTTTAGTGTGAATAATTTATTTTCCTATATTAGAATATTAGTTATTATGAATTGTAATTACCTGTAACTACTGACACTATTATATATAGTGTGAAATACAATAGAGAAAGGCATCAAGCCAATTTTCCTGACATGGTATCAAAAGGTTCGATCAAGCCTGTGAAATCTTTTTATTTTGGTTGAACATCGACACCCCACTGATTTTCTCTCGTAATCTTGTTCATTGTTCGAGTTTGTTTTAAAATCTTCAGAAATCGGAACCTTGTAGCTGCTTGCGATTCTGATTTTCTGATTGTCAGAATTGTGATTTCGTCTTTGCGATTTTCGTTGTTGTGGTGTCATCTTTGTTCTGTGTTTATTGAAATTGATTTTTTATTTATCACAATTGATTCTTTTTCGTTTGATTGTGATAGATTTTGTTTCGTTCAGTGATCGATAATTATCATTCGTTTGGCGGCGATTCTGTTTCAGTGATTGCTAATGAGAGATCGTTGTCCGGTGATCCAGATATTTGTTTCGCGTTCGCAGATTGTTGTTCAAATTGTTTGATGGCTAATATTGTTATTGTCTGCTTCTTTTTTTACACCTTTTTGTGGTTCTTGTGGTTTTGTGGTAGTATACTGCCTTGCTTCTTGTTAGTTGTTGCACGTTAAAAAAACTTATATTTGGTGCACGTGCAAAAAGTCTAGTATATAAAACAAATTTACTTGGATCATGATTTCAGAAAATAAGAAAAGTTGTTTTTGTGTTCGTTTTATCGGTAAGAATTATTTGATTTGAAATTTTTAATTCAAAAATTATGTCAAAGGAAAGAGATTATAGAGTCACTTAGATGCTGTTTCGAAGGCATTTACAGATAAAGTTGCATTAGATGAGTGGAAAATCAAATATGCTCAAATAATTACTTGGATCTTAGTACTATTGATCCTCAAATAATCAATAATTTGCATTCATTTTCAATTTCTCAAGAAATGTTAAACTATTTGAAACAAATTTACAACAAGGATAATGGAGTAAATCATTTTCAGTTTGAGCTAGAGATAACCAATTATAAACAAGGTAATTTATCCATGCAAGAATATTATTCTAGTCTTTTGAATCTGTGGACAGAACACTCTGCTCTTATTCATGGTGATGTTTTCAAGACTGCTTTCGCGACTGTCTAAGAGGTCTACCAGACAAGTAGTCGGGATCAGTTTCTCATGAAACTTCGCCTAGAATTTAAAGTTGTCAAAGTTGATTTGCTTAATAGAAATCTCGTTTCATCGTTGAATACATGTGTTGGAGAACTTCTAAGTGAGGAAAAACGCCTCATTACTCAAGAAGTCATGTCTCATGAAGTTGTTGTTTCTGAGCCTATGGCGGTTGCATATATTGCTCAGAGTAGAGATAAATGTCGTGATATGAGACAGGTTCAATGTTTCTCTTGAAAATAATTTGGACATATTTCTCAGAGTTGTAGTAAATATTTATGTAATTATTGCAAGTAGCAATGTTATAATATATCTGATTATCCCACACGTCCTCCATGACCAACACATCGTTCGTTGCAAGCATTTCATGGAACTATAAATTTTACAGTTGGTCCTTCTGTTACTAGTGCACCTAATGGCGATACTTTACAACCTGAAATAAGTCAACAAATAGAACTTTCTGCTCTTTCAGCTTTGGGAATTTAGGGTAAGTCTTCTAATATTTTAAATTCATGGTTTCTTGATTTTGGTGCATCCAATTACATGATGGGTTCCTTTGAAAACTTGCACAATTTACGGTTTTATCATGGTCATCAACAAATTCAAATTGATGATGGTAATAACCTATCTATCACTAATGTTGGTGACATAAACTCTGATTTTCGGGATGTATTTGTGTCACCTGGTCTTGCTTCCAATTTATTGTCTGTTGGTCAATTGGTGGATAAAAATTATAATGTTGATTTTTTTCGTGTTGGTTGTCTTATGCAGGAGCAGGTTTCGGGGAAGATGATCGCGAAGGGGCATAAAGTAAGAAGATTGTTTTCACTCTAGTTTATTTCTAATCATTTACCTCTTGCTTGTAATAACATTTTGAATTCTTATGAGGATTGACATAGAGAATTGGGTCATCCATGCTCTCCAATTTTGTCTCATTTATGTAAAACTTGTTTATTGGGTGATAAAAATGTTGTTTTTAATGCCTCTATGTCATGTTCAATTTCCAAATTGCCTAAAAGTAAATCACTTCCTTTTCCCTCTAGTGCTCATCGTGCATTAATTTGTTTTGAGATGATTCATAGTGATGTATGAGGAATGTCTCATGTAGTTTCTCATGCTCACTATGAATATTTTGTCACATTTATTGATGATTATTGCCATTTTACTTGGATATATTTTCTCCGTTCTAAATCTGAAGTGTTTTCTATGTTTAAGAAATGTTTGACATATGTTGAAATTCAATTTTGAGCAAGTGTTAAAAAATTTTGCTCTTACTCTGGTGGTGAGTACATGTCTTATGAGTTTCAGGATTCAGACTTAAAACAACCACACAATAATTTTACTTGAAACGATTAAGATTTGAAGATGAAGAGTTCAGATTCAGACATATCAAACATACACAAAAAATGTTTGAAGATGGAGAGTTCATACTCAAACATATCAAACTATTCAAACTATTCAAAAAAAAGGTTTGAAGATGGAGAGTTTGGATTTAGGCTACAACTATATATCATTCATTCGATTGAGACATCAAACATATCAAACCTATCAAAAATAATTCAAATGCAGACTTAACATGTCGACCAAAGTTAGAGACAAACGAGAGAGAGAGAGAGGGAGAGAGTGTGTGTGAGAGAGAGACGAAGAACTTACATCAGTAGTGGTTCGTGGTTGAATGTTCGACAATAGAGGCATTTCATGGACAGTGGCTAGGGTTCATGAGACTTCAAAAAGGTGAAAACTTGAAAACCCTAATAGAGATTTGAAATGAAATGTGTTTGTATTGTGTGAATTGAGACGGAGAATATGTGTTGGTTGGTTTGGTTGGTTTTATTGGGTTAAAAATTTCAATGGGCCCAAACGTACCCAGTGTCTCAGCTCAATCTTATTATAACCTAACCTCGCAACACCTTACTAGACCGATTGATTTAGGATTTCGCTATGCCCAGAAATTCAAACCTAAACTAATCATTTTAACCCATGCGAACCCTTTTCTTTTCAAACAGGCAACCCGATAACACAACCCACCTGAACCGGTAGCTAACAGACCTTGTGGATTGGTTGGTTTCGTCCAAATTCCTTTTTTCTTATCCAAACCTATGTGAATCTAGTCAAACTGATCACGCACATCGTCCTGCTTTTCAATGGAGTTTGTCTTCAAGATCCTCCATTAGAGCATGTCCAGCCACTCTGCTACGCCATATTTAGGAGCGGAAGTCGTGGTCCATATATAAATTTCATCATCTTATAATGAGATGCAATGAGTGCAAGTCTATCAACTTAAATTACATTTGGCGAAGCCATGTTAGGAACAGAGAAAATGCTTCCATAAATTTCAAATACTCAACATCGCGTAAGAAAATGGAAAAAATTAGCAAAAATAATAAAAATAAAAATAAAAACACTTCAATTTCTTGACTTTAATGAAGAATAAAAAAAGATGCATAAGTCTTTTTAAGAATATACTGCAAAATGTGTAAATGAGAGATTTTTTAATCTTTTATTTAGTGGTTGAGGGGACAAAATGGTCATTTTATACTGAGATATAACAAGTAAATTGCTTCTTCCCTCAAAATACAAAACAACAAAATAAAACATGGGCCTCTTATTCAAGTTTAAAAGTAAAAGATATAACAAGCCCAGAGGCATAGCTCCATTGTGTTGAAGTCTTGAACAAAACAAAAGCTAAACCCTGCTTGTTTGATTTTAGCTGATGGATTGAGAAAATATATATTTTAAAAAAAGGGTGTAAATTTTAAAATAAGATGATCTTTTAAAACTCTAAAAAGAATGTAATTCATTTGTGTTTTAAAGTATAATCTTCACTCTTAGTTATGCATGCAAGTTACAAACTAATTCATTACAAAAAAACAAATATCTACTAAATCATCATAGTAATAAAACCCTTATCCTTAATTACAATAATCATCTATAATTTAAATATAAACAAATATCATCCATTAAAAAATGTGGATGAAAACATATTTTTAAACCAATAAGTATAAGTATGTCCCACATGACATGTATATGGAATAATATTTCAATAAAAATTAATAAATTTATTCATCAATCAAACTCTTCCTGGTGCATTAGGGTCATGGTGATTGTTTGCTCCTGTCCCTGGATAATCATCCATTTCCAAATCTTCACCTTTTATTGGTCCAATAGCACTTTCCTATTATTGAAAAAAATATATATAATAAATAAAACTCTTAATTAAGATGGTTGAATAATTAGAAGCAAACTATAGAGAAACTATGAAATTAGCAATATTAAAAATATAAAAAAAAAACTAGAATTTTACCTTAGCTAGTTTAGTTTGCATTGGGGAGGATTTCTCATCCTTTGACAAAATTCTTCCTGCAAAAAAGTTTTTGAAAAATTAATATAAAAATTTGTTTAAATAATATAAAAATAATATGGAAATGGAGTGATTCCATATTTTTTTTTATAAAAAAAAATAATATTTTTTTAATACATACTTGAAGAAGATGAAAGAAGAAGACATGAGATAATCATGAAGAATAAGAGAAACTGCAGGGGAAATTTGTTGAACATGTTGAAGAAGAAAACAAAGAAGGATAAGATAAGAGAATAGGAAGATAGTGGTGATAGGAGAAACTATGTGAATGCAATGTTTATATAGAAGTCTTATAAGACAGCAAAATTTGTTTTTTTTTTTAATTATATATTGTAGTATTAATTGTTCTTTTGTCGACTTAAATATTATTGTAATTTCTTTGTGCAATAACTTATGGTTCTTAATAAAATTTATATAATTTTTTATATATACAATGTATAGTGATATTTGTTCTTATGTCGACTTCAAAATTATTGTGATTTCTTTGTACAATAATTTAAGGTTCTTATTAACTTGTATAAATGATTCCACTTGCTTGGTCAACTTTTGAGCTTTATCTAGATGTGCCTAGCTTCTCCACATGATTAATTAAATTTCATTTTAATTTAACAAAATATTAGGAGATCTAATTTTATCCCATCCAATGGAGTGGAAAAATATTATATGACAAATTAAAAAATATTTTTTTAATTTTGAAGATGTATCTCTGGATGTATCCTTTTGTTCCGGGGGGAATAGCCTCTCATCATATTGCAGCAGGGACATTGGGCATATTAGCGGGTCTTTTCCATCTTAGTGTGCGTCCACCTCAACGTTTATACAAAGGATTGCGTATGGGAAATATTGAAACCGTCCTTTCCAGTAGTATCGTTGCTGTATTTTTTGCAGCTTTTGTTGTTGCTGGAACTATGTGGTATGGTTCAGCAACTACCCCGATTGAATTATTTGGTCCTACTCGTTATCAATGGGATCAGGGATACTTCCAGCAAGAAATATATCGAAGAGTTGGTAGTGGGCTAGTCGAAAATCAAAGTTTATCAGAAGCTTGGTCTAAAATTCCTATTATACACTAATTTTATGACGCACTAAACGAGTGTCATTCTAGATTAACAAAAAAAAAATTCAACAAATATATTGACAGTTGAGCAGTCCAGCAGTCCAGTGAATTTATCAGAGATGCATCTGCGAAGGTTTGGGGCAGATTTTGAAATTTCTGTCAACTTTGCATGTCAGATATTTTCAGAGATGCATCTCCGGAATAATTTGATAAAACACTGAACTGCAAGATCACACAACCATACTTGTTTTCTACTCTAAACCCTTACCAAAACTCTTCCATTCTTAATCCACATTTTCATTCCAAATCTTCAATCTTATGTTTCATCACATTAAAGAGAGGGAAAAAATTTGAAATTTCAGGTAAAGATCATTTATTCAAGCCTCATTACTCACATTAATCTTGTTTTCAGACTGAAAAATGTGTGTTTATTTCAGAGATACATCTCCAGAGTCTGACTTGAAATCACCATCTCAACCGGTAAAAACAAAAGGTGCGGCAAAGAAGCTCAAGCCTACACTGAATTACAATTCAACGGTGTGGTCTCCTTCGTATTTTGAACATGTTGACAAAAAAATTATGAACTCATGTTCCTTGCCTTAGTGGACCGGCATTAGAGGCAAAATGAATGTGTTTTCCTGAAATGGGTTACCTCATAAAATGTGTATGATAAAGCGTGTATTGATCTTACACAATACGATTTTTCAGAAACCTTTTTCCCACTTCACACTGCCCTACCTCAAAATTCAAATGATCGTATTATGTGTATTGGGTGGCTTTCAAAATCACAATACTTTGTTCAAGTTTACTTGAAACTGGGATGCCCTATACGACTTACATCACCAGAGTGAGCAACTCATACAACAACAAAAGCCGAGACTTGGGTGGATCATTTTGTGGAAAGGATGCAAGAGTTCGAGAAATATAGCAACATTGAAAGAGAATCAAATGCATAAAACTCAAAGGGGGCACCACCCATACTTATAGATTTAGCCAGCGACAGATCTTTTGATTCGTTTTAATTTTGTTTAGTCGGACAAATAAGTGTATGTTATTATGTCTTAATACTAATGAAGTGCAATCTATACAATTTCTAAATATTTTAATATATTTTTATCTTTTCCAAAACATTTGTACATTTTTCAAACAAAGTCATCAATTAAGTTCTATTTTCTGCCTGGTTCAGGATAGGTTCCGGATATGTATCTCTGAAATAAGATAATAGAGTGTGGTACTGGAGATATATCTCTGAAACCATCACTAATACATGATAAAATTTTTGAGGTACACAATTGTGTACAACTTCTATAAATTAATGGGTTCTTGTTTTTTATTTCACACAAACAGAAATGGTCTCAAATGCCACAAATAAATATCATCTAGTATGTCGCAAATGTCTCCTTCTCTAGCGTGACACCCGAGTAAAAATTTTAGCTCAATGAGTATACCTCTTTTGCAGACTTGAAGTACGAAGTTCATAATCTCCTACCTTACAGAGACAATCAAAAAATTGTCAAGCTCGAGTACTGTTCATCGTCGATTGACAACGAAAGGAAGATTGAGTTCCGCAACTTTGAGCTCAAGACGGATGCAGATTTACGGGCTATGTGGAATATTTTTTTTTTTGTTTCGAAACAAAAGTTATGCTCGAATTGGAAGCGACGACTTCAAGATCGATCGCAGATATTATAAAGATGTTGAAGCGTCCACCTGGATATTGAAATATAATGTTTCATTTTATGTTGAAATAACCTATGTAATGTTGATTTTATGTTATGAATAGTAATTTTATTTTGTCTAAATACATGTTTCTGGTTTCTGCCTCTGATTCTGTTGCAAATATGGTACGAAAATGCATCTAATTCTGGGGATGCATCTCCGGGTTTAAAAAACCCAATTGCTAGGGTGTCATTCCCAAAGGCCTAAGTTATGTGTATATTGGGTGCGTTCGAAGATGCATCTCCGGAATCTAGAGTCATTTTAATATTTTTATGTGGTGTACTAGTAATATATATATGATCCATTAAGAAATTCTCATATATTATTACATGATAATTGGACAAAGGACCCATTGGGATGAATCCATTATTGAAAAAATGAATGTCAAACTTAATGTTTAGATTTCAAGAGAAAGAAAACAATTGCTTTAGGGAATTTCTTAATGCACCCCATATGTTATCAACGCACCACGTGAAAATACAAAAATGCTCTTAGTTTTCGGAGATGCATCTCCAAACACACCCTGAGTAACTAGAATTCTAATTTAACATTAAAAAACTTTGCAGATGCATCTTCCAAATTATTTCAGAGATGCATCTCTAGACAATATTGGAGCTTAAATCACTCCAGAATCTTATAACTTCCTCATTTCTAAAAAAACTAAAAACTTTCTCAAACTCTCTCAAAATTTCTTCCATCAACCAAGTCCAAAATCAATCAAGCAAGCTCAAAGGTTCTTCCATCAAAATCAGATACATTAGAGACATCATTTAACACTAAAGTAGAAGTTGATGATTTAGGTGATAAATGAGTAGAAATTGCATGAATGATAGTGTCGCAAATGTGAAAAGGGCCGGCAGAAACAACAGAAGAGTCGCCACTAAACGTTATTTATTCCAAAGAGAGGGAAATTAAACGATCGAAGAAAACCTAAAAGAACGGGAAAAGACAAGGTTATCGCGACCAAATCTTGGGTTCGGGAGTCGGTCACGCAAGGGGAAGGTATGAGCACCCCTTACGTCCGTTGTACTCAACGGGATCCACGCTTGTTTTCTATAAAAGGGGTGTGTTATCTAAAAGCTACTACTAAATGGGAAAGGAAAAAAACGAGACTCGATAAGACCTCTCCGCCTTATGCCTACGTATTCCCTCGTGCAATGGGAAAGTCAGAGTCAACGTAGTTCAGAAAACTACAGATGACGGGGGGAAGGTTGCTCATAAAGACATCGTTGTCTTGTGCCTACGTGTCCTCATCTGGTATGAGAAATCAGAGCAAATGTAGTTCGGGTAACTAAACCACGGGTTGGTTAAGTGTTTTTTATGAGGGACGTTAAGTTTCCATTCCAGCAGTTAGGGTTCATACGTGTTTGCGATAGAACGGAAAAACAACGTACTCTTTTCTGAAAATGATTTTAAGAACAATCTCGAAGGATAAAAAGATTTGAATTTGGTTTAAGAGTTTTAGTGAAGTGAGTTGAATTTGTTTGAGATTCATGTTGCACTAAAGACTATGAAATAGGAGCGAATGTGTCGCATATCGCCCAAAGGGCATACACTAAACACTCTAGACAAGTGAGGAGAAACTCCTCACTCATCATTTCCCATATACTTAAGGCTCGTGGCGCACAACGTTCATCATTATTTATTAAGTGTCTTAAGATTGTTTGAGATGAGAAGAGAAGACACAAAAAAAAAACACTAAAGGGAAACTGAAGACCCTAATGTTATCATACAAAATGATCCTAAGGTTAGGATGGAAAAGAAGTCTACCTAATGTTATCATACAAATGATGGACTTAAATTTGAGGTAAAAGAGACGATCCTAATTGTTGTCATGCAAAGGATTGAAAGTCTAATGTCTCTCCTACTCCCATCTTAAACAAAGGGACTAGGAATTCTAAGGGATCATGTGAGCAAGCACAAGTAAACACCAATCAAATCAATCACAAATAAAAACAAGAATGAAACTTAAACAAGTTCCAAAAAGAAAAGAAAGATGAAGAAGAAAGAAGAATGAAAGGTCATTAACAAACAATAAGCACATTCATTTCAATCTCAAGCAAAACAAACATAATCATCAACAAACATCAAACATTCACCAACACAAAGAAAGATGAGATGAAGTCAAATGGCATTAGAAGCAAGGTAGGGCAGCAAGCACATCATATCATACTCAAGTCATATCAATGGTCAAAACAAGAGCACACAAGAAAACAATCATACATCCCATCCATATACAAGGCAACACCAAATCATACAAGCATGCATACAAAGCATCGCAAAAGGGCAAAGCATGAGAACATGGCATGAGAACAAAATGAAGCTACACATCAACATGATCAATAAGTTTTCATTCAAACATGCACACACAAGATCATACAAATGAAGTCACACAAGTGAGAACCAAAATCATGCCTCAAG